CAGCGTGCGCCGCACGGAAGCGTCCCTGCGCGTGCCCGCCGAAGCCCGCCCTCCCCATACAATTTCTGGCCAGGCGCCTGTTTTACCTAACAGCGAAAACTGATAGGCTAGTGGGGTCAAAAGAGAGCATCATGACTCCCCAGGGGGGTCTGGGCAAATGCCGGACGGGTGCCCTGGAAAACGGGGAACTCCTATTTTAGCCAAGAGTAACGCACTTGGTGTTCTTCGAGGTCCCAGAACTCCATTCCTGGGCATGATTTTGAATGCCCGGAGCCAACTGTAGGCCACTTCGTGTTCTTCGAGTTCTCAGAACTCCATTCCTGGGCATGATTTTGAATGCCCGGAGCCAACTGTAGGCCACTTCGTGGTCTTCGAGTTCCCAGAACTCAATTCCTGGGCATGATTTTGAATGCCCAGAGCCAACTGTAGGCCACTTCGTGGTCTTCGAGTTCCCAGAACTCCATTCCTGGGCATGATTTTGAATGCCCGGAGCCAACTGTAGGCCACTTCGTGGTCTTCGAGTTCCCAGAACTCCATTCCTGGGCATGATTTTGAATGCCCGGAGCCAACTGTAGGCCACTTCGTGGTCTTCGAGTTCCCAGAACTCCATTCCTGGGCATGATTTTGAATGCCCGGAGCCAACTGTAGGCCATTTCGTGTTATTCGAGTTCCCAGAACTCCATTCCCGGGCCACACTTTGAATGCTGAGGCAGGCTGATGCTGAGGCTGAGGCAGGCTGAGGCTGAAGGCAGACTGAAGCTGAGGACGAGGCTGAAGGCAGACTGAGGCTGAGGCTGAAGCAGGCTGAGGCTGAGGCTGAGGCTGAGGCAGGCTGATGCTGAGGCAGGCTGAGGCTGAGGCTGAGGCTGAGGCAGGCTGAGGCTGAGGCAGGCTGAGGCTGAGGCCGAGGCTGAAGACAGACTGAGGCTGAGGCTGAAGCAGGCTGAGGCTGAGGCTGAGGCAGGCTGAGGCTGAGGCTGAGGCAGGCTGAGTCTGAGGCAGGCTGAGGCTGAGGCTGAGGCTGAGGCAGGCTGAGGCTGAGGCAGGCTGAGGCTGAGGCCGAGGCTGAAGGCAGACTGAGGCTGAGGCTGAAGCAGGCTGAGTCTGAGGCTGAGGCAGGCTGAGGCTGAGGCTGAGGCAGGCTGATGCTGAGGCAGGCTGAGGCTGAGGCTGAGGCTGATGCAGGCTGAGGCTGAGGCAGGCTGAGGCTGAGGCCGAGGCTGAAGGCAGACTGAGGCTGAGGCTGAAGCATGCTGAGGCTGAGGCTGAGGCAGGCTGAGGCTGAGGCTGAGGCAGGCTGATGCTGAGGCAGGCTGATGCTGAGGCAGGCTGATGCTGAGGCTGAGGCTGATGCAGGCTGAGGCTGAGGCAGGCTGAGGCTGAGGCCGAGGCTGAAGGCAGACTGAGGCTGAGGCTGAAGCAGGCTGAGGCTGAGGCTGAGGCAGGCTGAGGCTGAGGCAGGCTTAGGCTGAGGCTGAGGCAGGCTGAGGCTGAGGCTGTGACTGCGACTGCCGTTGCCACTGCGACTGTCATCGCGAATGCGACTACGACTGCGAGAGCAGCAGAATTCTACAACTGGATTCTCATCTGAATCTTAAGGGGAATGCTTCCAGTTATGCTCCTACACATCGCTGTTAGGTTGTTTTGCCGGGATAATGTTAGGGCTGTAGGTGGATATCTCAAGCTCTCCGCCGCCTCTGGCAGTGTGCGTTGCGAGCAGGAACGCGAAAGCGAAAGCGACAAGCGAAAAAAAACAACTGACACGAAAGCGACAAACTGGCGGCACAGTAATTGCAGTGACCCCGTGCAGACGCCGCCAGCAGCCAGCGGGCAATGTATTGCCCAGCAGGGACCGATACACGGTGTGACTTACACACATTGACCATTCAACTCGGCATGTGTATCCAATGACTCGCCCTCAGATGCGGCATACAACGCTCTATGTAGCAACCCTTGTCCGCGCTATTTCACCGCAACAGGGTGAACATCTGCCTGCGCAATAGTGTTGCCACTTGATGGCGTGGCACCTGTTCCATTGCATATCCCGGCCAACCCGAAGGCACCCTTTTCACATCTCCCGCATAAAGAAACCATAAGAAGCGCATAGCAGTGAAAACGGCACCTGCTCCCACTCGCAGTCCTGGCACAAGCTCTGGTTGCACGGATTCGAAAGGCACTTCTTCACCTCTGACAGCGAATCCGAGCCTCCACGGCGTCGGAGGGAGAGAGGGAAAGAAACAATGAGTGCAGATGCCGGGTCCCAAAAACAAGAAACCAAAAAACTTTGCCATCTCTTGGGAGGCCGATCTGTACCTCCGCCGGCATCCGCCAAATCCGCCCGACGGAGGCGGCCTCGTGTCACTCCCGCCGGCTTCCGCCGCCCGTCCGCCGCAGAGATGCCAAACTCCCTCGACCCTCGAGGGCGAGGCCCCGTCTGGAACGCCTCGTGTGTGCGCGCGCGGGTTGCCACCGTCGTGCTTGTGGGCGGTGTCCGGGGATCTTCTGACCCGGGCCAGTCCAGACCCGGGCCAGTCAGGCCTTGCAGGCTGCCCTCCGCGGGGGTGTGCAAGTCCTGGTGCTGTCGCGGAGGGATCCTCGCGCGCGTGTATAACATACATATATATATATGTATGTGTATGTGTATGTGTATGTGTATGTGTATGTGTATGTGTATGTGTATGTGTATGTGTATGTGTGTGTGTGTGTGCGTGTGCGTGTGCGTGTGCGTGTGCGTGTGCGTGTGCGTGTGCGTGTGCGTGTGCGTGTGCGTGTGCGTGTGCGTGTGCGTGCGCGTGCGCGTGCGCGTGCGCGGGTGCGGGTGCGGGTGCGCGTGCGCGTGCGCGTGCGCGTGCGCGTGCGCGTGCGCGTGCGCGTGCGCGTGCGCGTGCGCGTGCGCGTGCGCGTGCGCGTGCGCGTGCGCGTGCGCGTGCGCGTGCGTGCGTGTGTGTGTGTGTGTGTGCGCGTGCGCGTGCGCGTGCGCGTGCGCGTGCGCGTGCGCGTGCGCGTGCGTGCGCGCGTGCGTGCGTGCGTGTGTGTGTGTGTGTGTGTGTGTGTGTGTGTGTGTGTGTGTGTCTCTCGCCACCCGAGCCCCGCAAGCTACTACAGCTCCTCTCCCAGGGAGGAGGGGGAGGAGGAGAGCGGCGGCGAGCAGGAGAGCGCGGAGAGCGAGGAGAAACGCAGCGAACCGAACGCAAAGGCCAAACCCGCGGCCAAGGCTTCGCGCGCCCCAGGCTTGGCCACGGAGAAAGCGGCAGCGGCGACGAACCCTCAGGCGACTCCAGCAGCGGAGGCTGCGGCGGCGGCAGCAGCCCCGAGCGCCGCGCTGGCGCGGAACACCCCGCGTCAGGCTGCCCAGCACGCCGGCGACGCGGAGGAAGGAGGCTCAGCGGAAGGTCTCTACGAAATCCTCCAGAAGGCGGGCTGGGGCTACTCCACGGTGGAGCAACTGGAAGGCGGAACCTTCCTGGTCCGCCGGGGAAGGGACAAGGCGAGCCACACCTGACAGCGGCGGCACGCGCCAGCGCCCTTGCGGAAAGGGCCCGCAGCTTGGCGAACGCGGGAGGCGCTGACAGCGAGGGCGGCGACCTCCAGGCGTCGTACGCGCCCTGGACGCCTGGGCCCACCCCCGGCTCAACGCACAGCGCGCTTGAGCGGACGCGGACCAGGGCAGCGACGACGACGCGCCGCCAGCCAGACCGCGCGCGGAGCAGACGCTGGCTGCCCCGCTGGCACCCAGCCTGCCCGCCTCGCGGCGGCCGCCCCGCGGTGAACGCCTCGCGGCGCCCAGCGCGGAGCGCCCGCCTGCGGTTTCGGGGCGGCACGGGCCCCCGGGGCGGCCAACCCTGCGTCGCGCGGCGCCGCGGCGAGCGCTTCCCCCCGCGGGGAGGCGGGCCGCGGCGCATCGCGCGCGCCGGCCGAGGCCACGGCCGCTGGGCAGCAGGCCGCGCCTGGCGCGGAGCGGCCGGCCTCGACGACCTTGGCGGCGGCTCGCGACGCCGCCGCGCCGCGGCACGGGGCAGCGGCGCGCGCGCTCTCCGCACCGCCCGCTGGAGCAGCTCGCGAGGCCGGCGCCAGCACCCCAGGCGGCGAGCAAAAACGCGCGCCCGCGGCGAGCGCGTCCTTTGCGGAGGGGGCGGTCCGCGGCAGCTTGCGCCGCCCCAGCGCCGCGGCGAGCGCCGCCGCGCCGCCGGCCGCGGCGGCGGCAGCCCTCGCGGTGCTGCTGGGCTGCGCTGGGGCGCGCCGGCGCGTGCGCCCCTGCGGGCTGTTCCCTTCCCCCCCCCCCGCCTTTCCCGCGCCCCCCCTTGTCGCGTCGTCCCTTCGTCTGTCTTTTTCCCGCTATCTTGCCACAGGGCTCCTTCATCGACGGTATATATATATATACATATATATATATATATATATATATATATTCCTTTATCATATAAAATTGCATCCGAACCCCCCCCCGGCAAATCCACGCTGGCCGGACCACGCCAACATAGTACCCATGAGGGCCCCTAAATGGTTCAGGAAGGCCTCCAAAATTGCTCGCGGATCGTCCAGGAGGCCTCCACGCTGGCCCCATTACAACCCATAGGCACCCAAGACGGCCCCAAGAGAGCCCCACGACGACCCAATAGCCCTCCAACACTTCCAAGATAACTTCCAAGACGGCCCCGAAGCGCCCTACGAGGGCCCCCGATCGGCACCGCAAAGCTCCCAACACAGCTTCCGACGGCGTCAGACGGGCCAGGAACCCCATAAAACGGCACAGGGACCCCCCCCAAAAAACCCAAAAGACCCCAAGAGGCCCGAGAAGGCTCCCAACACCGCCCCACGAGGCCCCCGACAAACTCCCTGGAAGCCTCAAGAATGCCACAAGATTCTCCCACAGGGCCTCCGCGTAATATTCTCCGCCCCAACCTCTTCTTCCTCCTTTTCCTCCCCCCTCTCCTCATTCCCCCTCAACTGACCACGCAAAACCCCATGCACGACCCGACACCACCTTTCCCAACCCCACTACACCCCGCAGAACCCCGCAGAATCTCACAAAAGAACACCGAATGTCGCACGACCCCCACGCACGAACCCACAGAGCCCCACAGGACCAGACGGGACCCCACGGGACCTCACATCACCCGAAGTGCCCCGCATAACCTCTCGACCACACAGGGCCCCACGAGACCCCAGAACAACTCGCAGGACCCCACGAGACCAGGCAGGACCGCAGCCACCCCAGCGACACCCACAGGACACCGCAGGACTTCAGAAGACCCCACGAGGCCTTCAGAGACCCCACGAGCCTCCAAGGAACCGCACGGGACGCCGCGAGACCCTACCAGACACCAGGCGACCAAGCAGGTGCCCCCGGGACCAAGCAGGACCACGCAAGACCCCGCAGACCTCACAGGACCTGCTTCCTCCCCCTCCTCCTGCATCCTGCAGCCTCATCCTTCTCATCTTGCTTCCCATGCCTGCCGTCTGTTCCTCCTCCTCCGCACCCTCCGCCTCCTCCTGCCATCTGTTCCTCCCCCTCCTCCTCCCTCTTCTACTCCTCCGCCTCGTCACCACCACCCTCATCCTGGGATCTTCCACCTCCTTCTGCCCCCTCCTCCCCCTCCTGCGTGCTCTCCTGCAACACAGTTCTGAGCATGTAGTTATCCTCGGCCTTTGCTGTGCGATTCATGCCGCAGGTCTGTCTTGCGCATTTCGAACGTTATTCAAGTGGTTCCCGCCAGTCCGCCGACTCCCCGAATGAGTGGCAGCCTGTTACGATCTCGGAAGATATGTGGTGGCCACCAGCCCCGCCCGCCATCGTGCCTGGGTTGTGGGCCAGTAGCACGTTCGATGCCTCTACGGGCTCTTCAGATCCATCTCGGAGCCCTCTTGGGGGCATTTGGGGAACTCCGGAAAAACCCCCTCGAGCTTCCCGGAGGCCTCTTCGACCATTCTTGGGGTCCTCCGGGGCGCCTCGGGAGTTTCCGGAGAGCCTCGACCCTATCTTGGGAGCGGCTAGAAGTCTCAAGTCGTCTTCCCCTTCTTCAACCCCTCTAGGGGATTCGTTGGGCCGCCTTGGAGTCCTTCGACCATCTTGACGCCCTCTTCGCTCCTCCTGGAGTTCTCTGGGGTCCACAGGCCGTTTTCGTCTCATCTCAGAGTCTTCCGGGCCGGTTCAGACGATGTCCAACTGGAGGCGCGCGATCACCCTGCCAATGTGTCCGGATCAAGCGAATGATCCTTCGGATTTCTCGGCGCTCTTATGGGACAATTCTTGGGTAGTCTCAGAAGCATATTGAGCCGCATTGCCGCGATCTGCGACCCCCTCAAGCTACTTTCAGCCGCCTCGACTTTGTGTTGGATTTGCTCGGCGTTTTTTCTTGGCCCTTTTGAGCCGTCTTGGGTCCCCTGGCCCCGGAAGGTACATTGGGGACCTCGTCGACGCACTTCTCCTCCGCCCCCGAACGCAGTTCTGGGCCCCAGGGAGGAGGTAAGAGAGTGAAGGAAGAAGCCAATAATCTAAGACGCGCCCCCCCTCTGCTATGCGGGCGTCGGCGGGTCTTGCACATTTTGAGTGTTACTCCGGAGTCATCTAGGTCGAGCGCGCTAGCCGCCGCTTGCAACCATCGCTTCGCGCATTTCGACTTGCTTCTCCATCAAACTCTCCGCGCAAGCCGTCCTCCACCCCACCACCCTGAGTATGGCACCCCAGAGGGCTCCTGAGAACCCCCGAAAAAAAAAAAAAACTGCACTCGCTCGCAGGACCTCGCAATATCTCACAAGGCGACAAAGCGCAAGAAATCCAAACGGAAACGGCACGACCCCACGGGTCCTCACGGAACTCTGTAAGGCCCCTCAGGACCCTACAGAACTCAATCGGCCCCCACAGGACCCTTCCAATCCCACCAGACCCCAGACGACATCACCCGACTTCCCCGACCCACACGACCCTTCCGTAAACCATCCGAAGCCGCAGGATCGCACAGGACATCACAGGGCCCCAGAGCACCACACCAGATGCCTAGAGACCCCAATAGACCTCACAGAACCCTCGGACCCCCCCCCCCCCCCCCCCCCCGACCCCACAGGAGTTGCAAAACCTCTTGCCGGTGAAAGATGTTTTCCTGCGGTGGCCACGCCGTCACGGCGCATTGTACTCCCTGTATTCCTCTTCGTCGCCCCCCTCCTCCTTCCTCGCTTACTCCTTTTCAGCCCCGTCATTTCCAACCTCCCCCCATGCGCTGCAGAGTGCATCCTTGCCCGGCTACGCATTCACGGTGCATCCACCCTTCAGCCCGAACCTCTCATGCCTGTTGTGGGCGGGGTGGTCCTTAAGCCCTAGCAGTCTGACCCCCGCGCCCATTCGGGCACGTGGGGTCGCCCCTTTGAGCCCCTCTCTCCTGCGTCCTCGTTTCTTCTTCCAGCTCTTCCTGATCAGCCCTCGCCGTTGCTTCTCCGAGTTCCAGGGTCGCCCACCTCCTCCCGATGCCTCCACCTCTTCCGATTCTTGGTCGTCCTCCCCCCCGTCATTATCCTTCTGCATGTGTTCTCTCTCCGCTTTCCTGTCCCCCGACCTCGTGCTACTTTCCCTGCTCCATCGCCCTCCCCCTTCCTCCCTCTCTGCTTTCCTGTATCATCGCCATCCTCTGCTCACTTGTCCGCCCCCTCCCTCCTCCAGGCCTACGCGCCCCTCCTCTGCTCACTTCCCTTTCGCGCCCCCCTCCGCGCGCTTCTGGCCCGACGGGGCGGCGAACGCATCCGCTGGCAACATGTTGTCGCCCAGTGAACAGAAGTCTATCATAACGGCTTCTTCGGATGGCATACTCGGCGCTGTTCGTGACAAAGCTGTCCTCACGCGTTGGTACCTCATGCTTCCATGTCGTAACTGCATGAGCTACGCTACATACCACGATTTGTTTCATTTCCCCATGTGCTTTTTGGATGGTAGCTGCGCGGGGAAAAAACATGATCGTGACGTCTTCGTGAATGCAATCCAAAAGCGCAAAACAGGCGGTCGGGACATGCACCACTGGGTTCCCGTCAAAACCCTTCCAGACGCGTTCAACCTTGGAAAACTCACGGACAAGCGCGCCCCTCAGGTGAAAACCACGACTTCGGCAAACGGAAGCTCAGCCATTCCCACCCCATTCTAGACACTTTGAGCGCCACCAAACACTATCCCATGATATCCAACAAAACCAACCCTTGGTCAATTTGGCACTCTTTGTCATCGTGTCCACAATTTACTTAAACGAAGGGCGCTACATGATCACTGCGCTGGCCGTGTACAGTTGGCTCTCTCGTCAGAAGATGTCCCAGGCGCAACTCTTGGGCGACGCCGCCGCCCGGGCGAAACTCCAGAAACGGCTCTTGGACCAGCGCAACACGATGGTTAAGGACGAGAAGTTGCCGACGCTACTTTCGGTGGAACCTTGCGACGTCCATCGGTTCTACGACGCATTAGTTATTTGTGAAGACCTCTATGGCCGACAACCAGATGCCGGGTACCACATCCCGAGTTTCACAGAAGGCGACGACGACTCCAACCTCGTGCCAGACGGATCCGGGACAAAACCCCGCAGAGTTGCTGCGCACATGCACCGCATTGCCGGAACCCTACGAGAGCACAGTGCCCAGCTCAACAAGAGCCCCGTTCTGCTGGTTCAAATGACAAAACACTCCTTGCCACGCACGCGCAGTGGCTGCCTTATCTGGCACAGCTGGTATACATGCGTTTCTTCCGGCCCTCGCTCGGGGCGCGCAATTGGGATCAATCGGTCATATCAGACATTTCTTTCGTTGAACATGTTGGAGATGGGGATTTTCATTTCTTGCGGAAGTTGTGCCCAGACGCTTTCTCGATTTACAACTCCTTGGCAGACAGAGAGCCCGTGGAGGCTGCCGGGGCCACCGCTGCCACGAACGTTTCCAAAAGCGAGCGGGAACTCGGCCACGCGTTCATCCAGCTGTTGACACCCAGGCAAGAGAGCATGTCGTTGCATTCAAAAGTGAACGACTTGCTCGGCTTCCACGCCATGGATTTTCACGAATCGCAATGTGCAGTTTGCGAAGTGCGCACGTTCGTTTATGGCGCACGCTTGAAGAAAACAGAGACGACTGACTCGTGGCTGGAAGAGATGCGCGCGGCCCGCCGGCGCTGGCATCGGCAGGTCCTCCTGCCGCACGTTTGGGGCGCGGCTGCCGCCAGGGGCCGCGGGCGGGCGGCGCGAGTAAGGCGACTTCTCCAACGCACTGCCACACAAACAAAAAACACGACTCAACCCTTCATCTCTCTCGCTCCCTGCGGGGCCGTGGCGTCGTCCAGCCTTCCATCCTCTTCCCGCTCTCTCTCCCTCTCTCTCTCTCTCTCTCTTTCTTTTTCTCTCTCTCTCTCTCTCTCTCTCTCTCTCTCTCTCTCTCCACGGCGTGCTCTGTGACCACTATGGTTTACGCGGCCCTTGAGCTACTGGGCGCGCCGGCACTTCCAGCTTCGCGCTCGAGCGAGGGACAACCAATGAATGTACCCGCATTATGATGTTGGTATCCCCATTGCATTATTATTCTCTCCTTTACCCTAACAGCTCTTCCACGGCTCTCCACGCCCCTTTCCCTCGCCCCGCGCATGCCCGCGCTCGAGGGGCGCCCCGGAACGGCAGGCAATGCCGGGCCAAGGCGATGTCCCGAGAGAAGCCGATGGGGGGGGCTCCCAGAGTTCCTCGGATCCACGGGCTTCCCCACCCCTCACAAACACATGTTCTCAAAAATTCCACGGGCCAAGATTTAAGGCGGAGCGGAGCGAGCCTTCAAAATCTTGTGTATATATATATATATACACAGAACCACGCGCGCGCCATGCGCTTAGGTTCTAGTCGCAGAGCCACGGGTGCCGCTGCAAGCCCCGCTGTGGCCATAACGACGATTTCAAGCGTTCTCGGGCCCATGCCATCGACGCACAGAATTGCGTAGGCAGAACGCGGGGCGCCACGTCCCCACGTATCTCACAATCTCGCTGCTTCCGCTGTTTGGTTTATCGAGCTGCGCTGTTTTCGCTGCCCCGTTGTGACACTCAATTATCTGGCGCATCTGCTCGGTCTCCCCGCCGATCGCGCAGACATCCGCCGGCTCCTGATTTTTGGGTTGGCTCGGGGCCTCGTTGCGCCCGCGTGGGAGCGCGTTGTTTGTTCAATTATTGTGTTTCCGGCTTCTCGTTTTCAGCGGTCGTTCAGCTGTCGGGTATCAGCAAAGGGCGCGCGCAGATGTCCCGGTCATCGGCGCCCTTCTCTGCAACCAGTTGTTGTCGAGTCCGTCCCCGGGAGTGGGGAAACTTCTTTGTGCTGGACGCCAAACCGCATGCTGGCGGTAATCGCGCCCGTGAAGAATCATGCATTGCCACACGCTGTGCGTTCTGACGGGGCTACTGCGGACTTTTCTCACCTGCACGGCCAACGGCCAGGGCAGATGGAGCGCTCACCCGCGCAGCAAACAGCCGACGCTGATGACCGTGAGGAGCAACTTCACCAAAGCCCTCCGGGCTTGCACTGCGCCAGTCAACCCCATGACCAACAGCAGAGCAAATCCTTGCTAAGGTCTTGAGCCAAAGCGGCTGCAATGATGATGGAGATGACGATGATGATTGGCGGCGGCGAGAACCCATTTTGCCCCGCGGACTTTTCTCACCTGCACGGCCAACGGCCAGGGCAGATGGAGAGCTCACCCGCGCAGCAAACAGCCGACGCTGATGACCGTGAGGAGCAACTTCACCAAAGCCCTCCCGGCTTGCACTGCGCCAGTCAACCCCATGACCAACAGCAGAGCAAATCCTTGCTAAGGTCTTGAGCCAAAGCGGCTGCAATGATGATGGAGATGACGATGATGATTGGCGGCGGCGAGAACCCATTTTGCCCTGCGGACTTTTCTCACCTGCACGGCCAACGGCCAGGGCAGATGGAGAGCTCACCCGCGCAGCAAACAGCCGACGCTGATGACCGTGAGGAGCAACTTCACCAAAGCCCTCCGGGCTTGCACTGCCCAGTCAAAACCCTGACCAAACAGCATAGCAAAATCTTGCGAAGGTTCCCTTGGAGCCGACGGAAGCGGCCTGCAATGATGAATGGAGATGACGAGGATGATTGGGCGGCGCGAGAACCCAACCCATTTTGCGCGACTTTTCTCACCTGCACGGCCACGGCCAGGGCAGATGGAGTGCTCACCTCGCAGCAACCGCCGACCTCTGACAACCGTGAGGAGCAACGTCACCAAAGCCCTCCGGGCTTTGCCTGCGCCAGTCACCACCAGGACCAACAGCAGCAAGGCAATCCTTGCTAAGGTCTTGAGCCAAAGCGGCTGCAATGATGATGGAGATGACGATGATGATTGGCGGCGGCGAGAACCCATTTTGCCCTGCGGACCTTTCTCACCTGCACGGCCAACGGCCAGGGCAGATGGAGCGCTCACCCGCGCAGCAAACAGCCGACGCTGATGACCGTGAGGAGCAACTTCACCAAAGCCCTCCGGGCTTGCACTGTGCCAGTCAACCCCAGGACCCACAGGGCAGATGATGACCGTGCAACTTCACCAAAGCCCTCCGGGCTTGCACTGCGCCAGTCAACCCCATGACCAACGGCAGAGCAAATCCTTGCTAAGGTCTTGAGCCAAAGCGGCTGCAATGATGATGGAGATGACGATGATGATTGGCGGCGGCGAGAACCCATTTTGCCCTGCGGACTTTTCTCACCTGCACGGCCAACGGCCAGGGCAGATGGAGCGCTCACCCGCGCAGCAAACAGCCGACGCTGATGACCGTGAGGAGCAACTTCACCAAAGCCCTCCGGGCTTGCACTGTGCAGTCAACCCCCCGACCAACAGCAGAGCAATCTTGACTAAGGTCTTGAGCCAAGCGGCTGCAATGATGATGGAGATGACGATGATGATTGGCGGCGGCGAGAACCCATTTTGCCCCGCGGACTTTTCTCACCTGCACGGCCAACGGCCAGGGCAGATGGAGTCTCACCCGCGCAGCAAACAGCCGACGCTGATGACCGTGAGGAGCAACTTCACCAAAGCCCTCCGGGCTTGCACTGTGCCAGTCAACCCCATGACCAACAGCAGAGCAAATCCTTGCTAAGGTCTTGAGCCAAAGCGGCTGCAATGATGATGGAGATGACGATGATGATTGGCGGCGGCGAGAACCCATTTTGCCCCGCGGACTTTTCTCACCTGCACGGCCAACGGCCAGGGCAGATGGAGCGCTCACCCGCGCAGCAAACAGCCGACGCTGATGACCGTGAGGAGCAACTTCACCAAAGCCCTCCGGGCTTGCACTGTGATCAAGAATTGACCAGCAGAGCAAATCCTTGCTAAGGTCTTGAGCCAAAGCGGCTGCAATGATGATGGAGATGACGATGATGATTGGCGGCGGCGAGAACCCATTTTGCCCCGCGGACTTTTTCACCTGCACGGCCAACGCCAGGGCAGATGGAGTGCTCACCCGCGCAGCAAACAGCCGACGCTGATGACCGTGAGGAGCAACTTCACCAAAGCCCTCCGGCTTGCACTGCGCCAGTCAACCCCATGACCAACAGCAGAGCAAATCCTTGCTAAGGTCTTGAGCCAAAGCGGCTGCAATGATGATGGAGATGACGATGATGATTGGCGGCGGCGAGAACCCATTTTGCCCTGCGGACTTTTCTCTGGGGCCACGGCCAGTGATGACCGAGAGCCCTCACCACTAGCAGATGAGCTGATTGCCGTGCGGCTTCACCACCTGCACGTGCCGCGGCTGATGACATGCAAAACATGCCTTGCAGGAGCAACTTCACCAAAGCCCTCCGGGCTTGCACTGCGCCAGTCAACCCCATGACCAACAGCAGAGCAAATCCTTGCTAAGGTCTTGAGCCAAAGCGGCTGCAAAGATGATGGAGATGACGATGATGATTGGCGGCGGCGAGAACCCATTTTGCCCTTCGGGGGTACTAAAGTTTTTGACCATAAGATGAGAATTGCCTCGCTGGTCACGCGTGCCGCGGAGGACCGATGAGGATGCAAAGGTGCCTTGATGCGGATTCGCGAGCCTTTGTGGGCCCTCTGGGACGGCCAACCAGTGAACCGAGAGCGACCGCATTGGAGAAGGATGCCCAGGGTCTCACGGCATCAATGCAACAAGGAATACAATGAAACATCGCGTTGGCATGATAAGGACAGGGTCGATGGGGATGATGACACGGACGATCAAACGTGACCCAAGCGGAGTGGTTTACTGTGAATGGGTTCAAGTCGGAGTGTTTTCCGGCCCTATTGTAAATGGGACGGAGTAATTATCACCCTGTTTTAAATATATATATATTATATTCTTACAGGGTGAGAGCCCATCGGAGTCGAACCGCCGCCCGACCCAAAACATGTCGCTAAGATTCTACGGGGGGGCAGGGGGCGTCGACAGCATGACGTCTTATGGTCAAAACTATAGTACCCCCCGTGTACCCCGGGTGCGGTGGGAGGAGCAAGACAGAACAGGGACTGTGTATGGTACAGCAACATCCCTCTCGCTCTGCCGGGGCCGCCCTTGAAGGGTGCGAGGGGCAAAGCAACTTTTGACATGATAGGGTATAGCGATCCCCCGCTCGCTCTGGCCTGGCCTGTCCGGAGCTCTGGCGGGGCCGCCCCAGGAGAGGAGGGAGGAACACGAAAGCTGAAGGGTGAAGGGAGGAGGAGGAGGAGAGAGGATGGACGGAAAGGGGAGGCCTGGGCCATCTGGGCCGTCTTGGAGCGCCTTGGGGCCTCCCGCTCCCGCACTGTGGCCCAGCTTGGGGCCTCTCCTGGGGCTCTCTTGGGCCGTCTGAAGCGCCTCCTGGGCAATTTTCGGGCTCCCTGGGGCCGTCTTGGGGCTCTGTTGGGGGCCTCTTCGGCGATCTTGGGGCGGTCTTGGGGGCGTCTTCGGCTGTCTTCGAGCATTGGAAGTTCGAGGACGCGAGAAAGCGAAGAACATCGAACAAACCAATGCAAATCAATGATTTGGGCCTCTTTGGGCTCTCTCGGGACGCCTCTCGAAGCTCTCTTGGAGCCTCTTGGAGGCCTCTTGGGCTGTGTATTGGCCGTGATGCGCCCATCTGGGGCCACGTTGGGGCCATCTGGGCCGTCTTGGAGCGCCTTGGGGCCTCCCACTCTCGCACTGTGGCCCAGCTTGGGCCTGTCCTGGTTCTCTCTTGGGCCGTCTGATGCTCCTCCTGGGCAATTTTCAGGCTCCCTGGGGCCGTCTTGGGGCTTTGTTGGGGGCCTCTTCGGCGGTCTTGGGGCGGTCTTGGGTGCGTCGTCGGCCGACTTGGAGCGTCGGAAGGTCGAAAACGCGAGAAACCGAAAAGCATCGTAAAAATCAATGGACTTCAAAGATGTGGGCCTCTTCGGGCTCTCTCGGGACGCCTCTCGGAGCTCTCCTTTTTGGAGACCTCTTGGGCTGCGCATTTGCGGTCTGGAGCCCATCTTGGGCCACGCTAGGGATATCTGAGCTGTCTTGGAAGGGCTTGTCGAAGTCTCCCCGGGGCTTCTGGGAGCGACTTGGAGCTGGGGCAGTCTGGGGGCTCCACGGCCCCTCTGGGGTGCTCCGGGAGCGGTCTCGGAGGCCCCATTCCTCGCGCGCTCGAGGCCCGGGCCCTGGGCGCCCGGGCCTCGTGCGCGGGTGTGTAGATATATACATACATATACGCACGCACACATAAATAGACGTATGTGTGTATATATACATGTGTGTATGTATGTATACGCACATACACATATACACATATACACGATATGAATATGTGGGTTGACCATATGTTTACAACATTTTATCTATACCTATATTTTATATATATATATATATATATGTGTGTATGTATAAGTATGTACATGCGTATGCATAAAATGACAAGAAAAAACGACGAAATGCCGCCCATGTGTCGACTGTCGGCGGCGCGCTTGGGGGGGGGAGGGCGGAAGCGAGAAGGCGGGTCCGCCCAGGGCAGGCTCCCGGCTCGGAAGGCCTCCAGCCTTCTGAGCAGCTTTCGGTGCCTCCACCGAAGGCGCAGGACACTTCTCAGGAGGCGGCCGGGCCTCTGAGAAGCCCCGCCGCCTTCTGCGAAGGCCTGCTCCTTCTCGCTCAGCCGACTGGTGCACGGCGGAGGCCCGAGAGGGGCAAGGGGGGCCAGGCCCAAGACACCCGACGTCGTGTGGCGTCGACCCCAGAAGTCTCGCCCCTTCCCCGGGGCCGGCTTCTCGTCCCGGGTCGTTCTTTGACGGTCCCGAGGCCCGGTGAGGGGCCCCTCGCGAGGCCGACAGCAGCGAACAGCCTCCCCTCGTGCTTTTGTCATGGGCCGCGGGGGGTCTGCGGCCTCAAGTCCCATCCCGGGCGCCTGGCCGGGGCGGCGCGTGCGCCGACCCTGGATGCATGCATAGGTGCACGGTTTCCCCCGAGGCCGTAGGCGACCCGAGGAGGAGGAGGGAGGAGGAGGAGGAGGAGGAGGAGGAGGAGGAGGAGGAAGAGGAGGAGGAGAAAGAGGAGGAGGAGGAGGAGGAGGAGGAGGAGGAGGAGGAGGAGGAGGAGGAGGAGGACTATAAGC